GAGACCTCTAAAGTAAAGTTTGGACCTTTGTTGTTTGCCTTGCTCCCTCTTCTTGGGTGTCTTCCTTTCTTTCCTTTCATCATAGCCATGTTTTTTTCCACCTCTATTCACTTTCACTCAAGTTTGAAGCATTCTATATGTTTATTGATGCAGGTGGAAAATCCACAGCTTTGTATAATTTGTGTAGCACAAACTCATAATAATACCCACATGCCATTTACACAGGCTGGCTCTTCTCCTAGATGCACAGAGGAAAATCAAACCTCTGGCTCTGCAGGCAGATACCTACATCACTAAGCTGTCTAGCCAGTTGGCAGAAAATTATAAATCCCCCTAAAATAGCAGCCAGCTTTTTTATATTTATTTGCACACATATACAGTCATGCCTACACCTCCCCATACACACATTCATACAATTTTTTTTAAAAAAAATATTGGAGCTGTGTTTAAATCCTTAATGATGCAAGTATTTATGACAAAGCTGTCCCTATAAAATCTGCACATTGTGGCCAATGTGGCTAGTATCAAGCATTTATATGAGGAAATAAAACTTTCATTTAACTACCTCATTGACATTGATATGATATGCTTAACTTATCATATCAAAACTGGATTTTGCACTGTGAGTAGATATATGATTACTTAATCGAAGCTGCCAATGTAATACCAAGAAGAAGAATTCACAGAGGGAGCTTACATAGGCTTAAATTTAATTCCAGAGCAGAATGTGCGAGCAATTAGGTACGGTAATTAGATACACATAACTAGTTTCCAGTTGGCTGGATAGCTCAGTGTGTTAGGTATCTGGCTATGGAGGCAGATGGTGGCAATCAATTCCTCAGAAGAGCATTCCAGAAGAGCCAGCCTGTGTGGCCTTGGGAAAGCTGCCCAGTCCTAGAATGTCCCCAGAAGAATGGAATGGTAAACCACTTCTGAATACTCTCTCCTTAGAAAACCCCTCACAAGGGTCGCCGTAAGTCTGAATTGACTTGACAGCACACCACTACTATTATTACTATTATTAACCAGTTACTTTATTTAGGTGGCTGTAACTCAGGTGGCTCTAACTCAGTGAGGGATAATTTCACCCCTTTTGAGGAATAACTGTTACAAATTGCGTGTGCAAACCATAGTTATCACGTGGTTCAAGCACTGGCATATGTTATATCTCCTGCTCTGTTAGTCTATTAAGGCCAAATAAACATCAGACACAGCTCATAATTAAAGTTGAAAGCATCTTTGTTTGCTTTCCACCACAACTGCATAGTTCTTTTAAGAGTCATAACTCTAATGGTAATTAAGTACTTTGGGGACCTTGATATTAAACTGTTACAATTGGGCTGCAGTTTCTGGTCTAGGTTCAGCATTCTTTAACTGTAAACCCTAAAGCACCAATATTCTTACTAACTTCTCAGCTGGCCTTTGGTATCAGCAAAACAATGTCTAAATATTAACTAAAATGTGAACACTCATGTTGACACTTTAGAGTTGGAGAACTACAGATTCAATCATGCAATTTCATTTCGTAACACCTACACACATATTATCTAAAAACTTATTGTTCACAATCATGTAGCAACCCTTATAATTGCTATGGTATATGGGGGAAGGGAACTGCACATGGTTGCGGTATACTGTATGATAATCTCTTAAGTGCCTTTGAACCTAACCAGAATCTGTTACCATCTACCAGAAGCTTCCGGAATTGCAAGCTCATAATTCACTAAAACTGCAGACCATATTTTCCTGAAATGTACAGGAATTTCTGGAAAACATGAAAAAGCCAGCTCCAGTTTTTAAAACACATATTAAGTCTATTATGGTAAAAGCCTGAAGCTTGCTGCTGCCACCTAGGGTTGGATTAAGGGAACAGAAAGCTTATTATAAAGGATACCCATAATAACTCCCAATATTCTAAAACTTCTCTGGTACTTTGACATATTAACTGGAACAGAATCATGAAACTATACAGCTATAAAACCTTGTGATTTTTTAAAATCTTATTTAGAAAGAAGGATAGAATGCCAGAAGGTATATCTTTACATCAATGAATACAATTTGCTCTCTGCCTTATAGTTTAGATGAAGCTTTCTAACTCATACATGAGCCGTGATAAATTATATGCTCAAGTCTTTTTTCTGTTGTGATTACTTCTCTTTTTCAAAAACAAATGTTAATCTACAAGGACACCCACTCTATTTTCAAAAGCACCTACTCAGGAATCTTGCTTCTCCTTTCACACTGAAACTCTACTCATTCATTTGTTATTTTTGCCACTTAATGACGTCAGCCACTAACTTTCATTCTAAAGTTCCTTATTTTCACTACCGCTGTTTAGTCTTTTTGAGTAAGGGATTGGTAAGTATCTCTGCCAGCCTAATCATTAATTTTTTTTAAAAATATATTTTTTGTGAACTGTAAGAGGACAGTGTCACCTGCACAGCACCACCAGGGACCCTATGGGCTTGAGCAGTAAAACAGAAAAAAGAAAAGGAAGCAGCCAACCGGTCAGGCAGTCACTGCCTAGCACACTGAGACACCCACTCACCAAAACAACCACCAATAACAGAACAACAAGAAGAACAACAAGGAAATTCCAGAAAGACCAATGACATAGTGGAACATTTACAATGTTAGCCCCTCTGGCCCACACCCCCTCACATAAAAAAAACCCAAAATGGTCCCAACCCTCCTAAAATATACACATTAAACGAAATTAAACGAAGTAAATTAACCAAATAATAATTCTTTTTAAAAAACAATTGAACAAGGAAAACACCTGCCCACGGTAAAAACAGCAAGAAAATGAAGAGAGAAAAAATACAGTTAAGGCTCTTCTAATAAAAACTCCTAGAATACTGTATAGGGAGATTTCTCCCACCACCACCACCACCACTGGATGCCTCTTCTAAAAATAAAGCAGGCAGCAGCAAAAATAATACAAAGAAGTGACAAATCCCCAAAGAAATCAGGAAGGATTTTTAAAAAAACAGTCTAAAGGAGGCATACTGGCATATGTAAGGTGCCTGGGAGCAGAAAAAAAAATAATCCAAACAGATTTGAGGGATTCCCAAAAAATCAAAGACTAAAAAAAAAAAGGAAACTATCCAAGATGGAGAGTGCCAGAAGCTTAGTACCACATAGTAATTCCACAGGAAATGACTGACACAAAGAACATTCCTCATTGTTTTCCAGGCCATTTTACAGATTGGAAATTCCATCTCCTCCCAGACATTGTGATTAGGTGCTAAGAGCAGGCCTCACAATGCTTTTAGATGAAAATTTTCCCAAGGCAATTACACAGATAAAGTGTAAAAGAAAGGTTACACAAAAGAGGGAGCATGAAAGAAACCCCAAACTATTGTGTACATCTCTTTCTTATACACAAATCATTGCTGCCTTTTTAGAGGTTCTCAGCAATCAGTGGAATAACATGAAATAAACAAAACAGAGCTTTTATCATAGTTCTGATCTTTTTTAAAAACACAAAAAGCCCATCTTTATTGATGATCTTCTTAAACAAATGGCTGAAATCCTGCTGCTTAGCATAACAAGTCACATTAGAGTAGGAACATTGAATCAATGGGCAAATTGATGCATCAGTTCCTCCATGAGTCCCATTGATTCAAATGAGCCTATTCTAGTTTTGCCTTACTTTGGCGTACTAACTTACAACTAGAGTAGGCCGATTTGAATCAATGGAATTTACGAAGAGGTTGACTCACAAAATCCTCACTGACTTAGTTGGCCTACTCTAGTGCAACTTATTACACTAAGCAACAGGATTTCAGCCAGTACGTTCTTGTTCCTAATATTGGTCTCCATACTGGGTAATTGAAAAGTGACCAATGTAACATCAAGAAGGGATGTAGGAGAGATCCAGGAAATAAAGGCAGGTTATTTAATGGCTATTTAAAATAAAATTTAACAAAAGCATTATTAAGTACAAAATGACCCAACATTAGAGCAAGTCCTCCTGAAAAAGATTTAGCATGGCTTTGGCTCACTAAGCTTCAAGACTATTTCAACATGTGTATAAAAGTGACTGGCAGACATTGTGCACCTGGACTTCCCCAGGGCTTTTATGTAAGTCCTTATTAAAGGCTTATTCAGGAACCTGAGTCTGAGATCTTTTAGGACTTTGTAATCTTCTTCCTTTGTAAGGAGTAAGAAGGAGAGATATCTGTATATGCCAATTAAAAGCTTTTTGCCAGCTATCTAATTGTTTTCTTGTCTATCAGAATTTGTTTTATAATCGTGCTTTTACTCCTGTTGTACACTGCCCAGAGTAGCAGTTTGCTAGATAGGTGGTATAGAAATGGAATAAACAAACATGTACACTGGTGGGATCAGAATCAGTGGAAACGGCTGGGAAGGAGTTCATGGTATCAGCATGGACAGGCCAATTAAAATGTTACCTCAGCAGCTGTGAAACAGGCAAATATCAGGTTAGGAAGTATTAGGAAAGGGGTTGCAAATAAATTACCATTACTAGTTGTGAATGCTTTTCTACAAGCCTACAGTCAATTATGCATTCAACACACAATGCATATTTCTAGTTTTTGTGTCTCAAACAGGATATTAAGAGCTGGAAAGGCGTAATCAAAATAATCAGAGGGTGGGTGTATAAAAAGAAACAAGTCCTAAAAGGTTATAATTCCTAAAAACTTTGAGTTTCTGATATCTGAAGAATTAATTTTATTCATATGAGTCTGCTTACATATTTCCATCTTCAAAGGAGGTCCTACTGTCTGTCCTCGTGAATGAGGTACAGCTAGCAGTCATGAAAGACAGGGTCTTCTCACTAGAGGAGGACTGCAAGTAAAATCTTACACCTTTTTCTATCATCCAAGCACTAAATTTCCTAGTATATTCAGGAAATATATTGACTAAGAATATTTGTTGTTACAAAGAAAACTCAAGCCTTACTCGACTTCCTTAGCTAAACTTTGAGAAGCAGCAGGAAGCCTTCCATTCTTATTTTTTCCATCCTCATTCAGGTTTTCAGCTTGAAAGTGTGTCAGATTCAAAGAGGGGTAGTGACACGGAGAAACCTCTCCTATATCCTCACCTGGACGGCATTCAGACTTTGGTGAGTTAAGTGAAAAGGTCTGTGTATATGCTTCATGGAACAATTCCAGCTACTTTCTGAATCTTTAAGACAGTTAGGTATGTTGAGTCTAGAGAAAAGAGGGTCAAGAGGTGATATAATTACCTGGATAGCTCAGTGGTTTAGGTCAGAGGTCCCCAAATCCCAATCTGTGGCCTGAGCCTGACTGGGCTGCGGAGACAGACCTCCCCCCACCCCCGCATGCACTCCCCTCTCCGTACAGCCCATTTGCTCCTGGCCACAAGAGCAAGTACTACACTGTCCTTTGTGCATGTACAGGAACTTCTGTGGGCCCCCACTCCTTTGCACATGTGTGCACGCGGAGGGGTGCCTCGCCTTCCCTAGCTGGTCCACGGGGCTAAAAAGTTTGGGGACCGCTGGTTTAGGTAACTGGTGGTGGAGCCAGAGTTTGGGAGTTTGTTTCCCCACTGTATCTCCTGAAAGCAAAGCCAGCCTGCATGGCCTTGAGAAAGCTATACAGTTCCAGAATTCCCCCAGAAGAAGGGAATGGGAAATCACTTATGAATATTATCTGCCTGGAAAACACTGAAGAGGGCCACAGAATTGACTTGATGGAATATGATCATTATTGTTACTATTATTATTATTATTAAAAAATACCAGACACAGTCAATCAATATTACAAAAACATTGACTGGCATTATATAACAGGTACATGTTTTAACCAAAAACCTAAGTATCAGTGCAGTATGTATGCTGTTCCTAATATTGCTGTTTTTTGTAACTCTGATGCTATTATTTCTGAGATCTGTAACTGCTTATAATACTGTGTGAATTTTCTTGATATTCTTCCCAAAGCTCCAATGACTATGGGGACCACTGAAGTGTGTTTCACCCATAAGCGAGATGTTTCAATCGCAAGATATTGTATTTTGTTAGTTTTTTCAATTCTGACATCCCCTAGAATTGCAATGTCAATGATCCAGACATTTCTTTGTACTATGTCTCATTTTGTAATCTGTTTGTGCAGTCTTTGGACACTAGAACTTAATAATATTAAATCTTCTATCAGTGATGCTCTAATTGGGGATTTCTGCATTGGCAGAAGTTGGAAGTTGAGTAAAATTATCTTTGGGATCCCACTGAATTCTACAGACCTACAATTCTATGAAAGACTGTGGGACTTTCCCTTTCTTCTATGGTCTTTCAGACTTCCTTAGAAGGGGGGAAATCCCAATTGGCCTGTTTTATGAGTTCAGTACACAGGGCTATAGTGTCATCGCTTTCACTTCTGTTCATGTCTTTTCTCAAAAGGGCAAATACCTCCCATTTCTACAACAGAATCATGGCTTCAATACATTATGTTCAGCTTCTCTTTCTAACTCAAGGTAAACGGATTTTCTTTCTTCCTTTCTTTTTCTTCCTTTCTTTGACTTCTTTCCAGATTCAAGGTATATTCCTTTCCCCGACCTTCTTTGGAGTAAAATATTGTAGTAGTCCATGCAAAAATACAACTTCTCCTTCCTTCTATTATGTAACATATAAATGTTTTGCCCCTCAACCTCCCTTGATACTGTATTGATTGTTGCCACTAGTCTATCTCTCTGTCTCTCCTTTTTAATGACAATAAAATGTGATAGAAAAATCTCCATTTGCAATTGGCCTCTCTTCAGAAAGAGTATTTCTCTGTTCATCCTTTTTTCTTGCAGTTTGGTATGTAATTCAGGGAGCTGGTGATGACATGCTACAGGTTGTGGCTACATGTCATGAAGATGTGTTGCTCCCTTGTAAGGCTTTACAGGATGTACAAACCACAACTGGGGTTGTCTCCTGGTATAAGGTAAGAATCTGTTCATGTACATCCATATTGCATTTAATATGATATGAATAAAACTGTTGGGGGACATGTTTGTCTTAATAGTCTAATATGTGTATCTGGATAATCATGGATACAACCAGGATTGATTATGGAGGCTAGAAAACATATTGTCAAAACAAAACGTCGTTTCAGTTCACAAGCATTTGTTTGATGACAACTGAGTGTGGATTGCTTTAGGTGAAAACATTTTAATGTGATTTGGTCTTTATTTGAATTAGATCTGGGGGGAGAATGTGTTGCATCTGTGTTCTTAACTGTCCTATAACACTGTTGGCACTAATTAAGTGTTAAACAGGTAATAACAGCTCTAGTGATTTTATTCAAGAAGCTAGCTGTGAGATCTTCTCTTTCTTTATTTGCATAACTGACCTTTATTTTTCTCTATGAAAACATTTAAGAACCAAGGCTGTGAGGCTATGAAGATGATAGAGTGCAGCTAGGGAACCAAATTGCAGTATTAATCACTTAAAAAAATCTATTGAGAGCCTGATCAATAACCAGTGTATAAAGCCCCCAAAGGGCCAATTAAACAGTAATTTCAACAAAGAGTATGACATTTTGACTGTAAAGCTCAAATAGCTTTCAGGTTAAATCTCTAGTACAGGGTCATTCTGAACTATGTAGTAAATATAACTAATTAACCTTTGACGTCTGCTGCTTAAAAATATATATGACGATGATGACCGTGCAGAGTGTGCTGCTGTTGGTGTAGAATGAATTATTAGACTCTAATACCAACAATGATTGATGAGCATCTTCCGTGATGCTTCAAAGAAAACTTCCACCACCTTAGACTGCGTAATGGCCAGAATCATCCACCAATGTAACTCCATCTGTGTAAGTTTCAACAGCAAATCACCACAAGTTGAGAAGCTGACATAGGCATTTGCTGTCACACACCTGACATAACTTGTGATGGTTCCCTGCTAAAAATTACACTGACAAGAGTAGAATTCCATCCATTGGCAAATTGTTTTAAATACTTGTAGAGGAAACTTGCCACCACACCTATGAAGAGGTTTGAATGGTTTACTATACAGAGCCATATAACAATTTACTTCATTTCACCTGATAAAACACTTCACCATGAGTGCATTTGTAATTATGTTTCATTTTTTTAAAAAAAATAATAATTGTATTTTGCAAACCATACGTAAAATCTCTGCATCGTAATCTAGGTAGGCAAATAAAAATATTTTTAAAACACACATCTAGGCAATTTTCATGTGGCTTTTGAGGAATGTCATCCTTTTGTTGTTATGTTGCAGCACTGATTGAAATTCATTCATATATTCATTCAATTTGCCACAAAATGGTTCAGAATTTTGTAAACTTTCCATCCCAGTTGCCCCGCTATAACAACACAAAGGAAATGTTCATCCATTGCACTGGATTCCAGGGGAAACAACATTCAGAAAGATATGCATTCCATGTCATTCCTTGTTGGCAGCCTTTTTCTTTTGTGGGAATTCTCTCTGTGTGGTTGTTTTGGTTAATAGTTATGTTCATTCTACCTGAAGTAGAGCTATTTTCAGGCAACATTAGGTTACACAAACCATAGCAGCATTTTCAAGCTGGTGTCTCAGCTCCTTTTTCCAGATCCAAGGTACATGGCCAGACATCCCCACCTGATTAATCTTTGTATTGTGCTAAATTTTGTAACAAAACCAAACAAACATTAACACGCTAGAAACTTGATAACTAGCTTTAAAAAAAGAGATGTGCGAATGTGGTGTTTCAGGTTGTTATGATGGTCTTTAATCTTTGTTTCTTTTATCTCTAATGTTCTGTTCTCTGTGTTAAAACACTGCCCCAACATGAGGAAAGGGGGTACACTCTACTGGGGTCTGAAGGTTTAGATGGGCCTGGTCCATAGTGCATTTTCTTTATTACTGTGAGGAAGAAACTGAAGATAAACAGTAGATGATGCCAGAGGATATTATGGGGATGCAGGATTGTGGTGTCATTGTATATAAGGGTATTACTAGTTTGTACTAGGTCTTCCAAAATACTTGAGTCCTACAATCAAGGAGACACAAGCCCTATTCAGGTGTAAAAGTTCATGTACATTCCCAAAGTGAACAACAGAGAACTCTAGCCTTGCTCACTGTATCATCACTTGTATTAGCCTCTTGTGCATGAGGGACAGTGAATCCAAAAAGAAAAAGTTCCACTATCTTTTACATGGGACTTGGGGCACTGGAAAATTAGTAGCCTGACTCAAATACAGAACAGACATGGATAGTAGAGCTCTTCCTCTTCAGATTTGTCACTATGAGTAGGAGGGCAATGACACATAGGGAAGGGCTAGAGCACTCTGTTGTTTAGAGTTCAGTTTTATTTAGGCATGTTGACAGAATGTCCTGCATTGCCCTTCAAAGGGTAAATAGAGTGGTGAGACACAAGAAAGGTATTTCAATCTGGACAATAACTTCATTAATTTTAACTGTGTATATCCCCTAACCTGTGTCCAAAGGGTAAATAGAGTGGTGAGAAACAAGAAAGGTACAGTATTTCAATCTGGACAATAACTTCATTAGTTTTAACTGTGTATATCCCCTAACCTGTGTTGGGTCCTACCGTAGAGCATGAACGTGGAACTTCAGGCCCCTTTTCTAAGTACAATGTGGTCTTGAATTTTCTTTTTGAAATCTTGGGAAAAACTACAGTAAATCATTCTCATTTACAATTGCAAGATAGCAGTTGTGGGAAGATATACCTTAGTTTAGCAGAAGGATATGTTTCAAAATGCAGGTTTAGAAAAAGTGGGGGGTTAAAATACAGAAAAGAAGAGGAAGGAAAAGGACAGTATTGATCTCAGAGTAGTATGAAGGTGTTTTCTTAATTTTCTGAGATTTTATTGGGAATGTCATAATTTTCTTTGGCATATTTGACACTAACCTTGACATCACTGGCCTTAGCATAGTCAAATTATGTATGTGTTGCAGGACAACTTCAAGTAGAAGCTGACTGAAATGTTTGAATGATCTATATTTTGGTATTTGTAATAGTATATATTACAAGGTCATCCTATGTATCATCTTAGCACCAAGACTAAAACTGACCTCTCATCTCATCACTATAAGCATTTCGCCAATGGTTTCCGTGGTATCTTGTCTTGTGAAACAGGTGCAGAAAAATGCATATGATCATGATGTGAAGAAAGGATAAATCAAACTTGGCCTTACAAGTTAGATATAGGAATCTACTGCTAGATAGCTCAGTGGTTTAGATATCTGGCCAGAGGCTGGGAGTTCAATTCTCCTTTGACAAGGACAGAAATCAATGATCCATAGGTCACTTCCAACTCTATACTGTAGTTCTAAGATTCTAAGATCCAACCAATCATGAGGTGCTGTTCTCACTAGGGTTCTTTGCAGATCATAATTTTATGCATCATTTCAGTCTGTAGACATGTGAACCAATTCTTGAATGTTATTCTAGTAGGATCCACTGTGGAAACGAGGAAACTCTTAGAAAAATATTGCATCATGCACTTGCAGTGGCATTTTGTGGGAAATCCAGTCCATTGCACATTCCATACATTTAATTTATTTGCTCTAAAAACTACTTGCCCAAGAAATAAGCCAGGTGGTGGTGCTTCCATATTTTTCATTGGATTGGAAGCAGAAAGATCTTAGGCTGATAGCAGATATAAATATTAGGATTAGGATAAAGCTGCATGTAATATTACACAAACATAGAAAGTACACGCAGTAGATTGTTCCACTTGTAATTACACAAAAATGAACAGAACTAGTATTGGAAATGGAAGGAAGTGCTCTGCTGATGAATGGTCATCATTTCTAGAAGGTTTATGCAACACCTTGCGCAGCAGCACACATAAGAGCTATGCATAAGGGGAACAATGCTGGATAAAATCCATAATGTGTCTTGACTTGAACATTTACTGCTTGAGTTTTAGTTACTTGCAGGATATGGGGAGAGGTTGTTCATATTAGTAAAGTAATTCTTACATTTTCTTCTAATTAGGCAAGATAGGAGGAGAAAAAATGTTGAAAGTAAAAACTGAGAAACAAAATACAAGTAATTTCAAGATTGTAAATAACTTGGCTGTTAAAAATTCAGTTTCAGAAGTATATTTGTAAATGTCTGTTCGGAACTCTTCGGCTTCTGACAACATATTTACAAGTAATTAATCTTAACAAGAATGTGCTGAAAAACCCAGATGCATTTGGACTTTCCAGTCAAACTAGTAATTTACCACTAGATGTCTCTACAGGCAGTATGTTATTATTTAGCTGTGAAGGAATGTTGAGCAAATTTAGTCTGCATGCAACTGAAAAAAGTTGTCATTGAAGCATTAATGAATAGATCTAGCTCCATATCCGTGTATCATGCTGTCTGTTTTTCCATAAACGGGAAGGAGTGTGTTGGGGAGCATCTCTTTTGAGTGTGTTATTTACTTCTATTTACTTGAATAAATTACAATAAACACTTGAAATAGTTACTGCTCATATGATTCCCTCACTGAGATGTTAGAGATCTCTTTGGATGCTATATATCTGCGTAGGAACTAGGCAGTAGGCAACTTTACCATGGATATTTATTTAACATAACTTGCTCACTGGGCAAATGGATATTTGTCTCAGCAGCACTATGCTGAAAATTTGATTGTTTCTGCTAATTTCCACCCATCATTTAGCAGGCATGGTAAGTTGCTTTGTGGCTATCATTTTACAGGAGTGCTGAGTTGCTAGATAACAGCTGGAAACTTTCAATGATCATAGGTGATAATTAGCCATGTGTGAGGAAGAAGATACCATCCTTTGGGCTATCCCGCCTTTCCCTCAAGCTGGGAAAATTTGAGGCCAGCAGCTCCTCAATAGGCCAGGGCAATGTGGATAGAATGTGTACCTGAGAAACCAAGAGATAGAAAACTCAAGACCCAGGAATCTAGAACCCCCGCTGACATCCCTGGGGAGGTGACATCAGAAGAAGACCTAGGTGAAGGGGAATAACCCTAGAACAGGGATCAAGGACATTTTTACTTTTTTCCCCCCCCCCCCAAATTTATATACAGTGGTGCCTCGCATAGCGATTGCTTCGGATAACGATGAAATCGCTTTGCGATGAAGATTTTGCGATCGCTTTTGCGATCGCTTTCCGATGTTCCCTATAGGGATGATTGGTTCCCTGCTTGGGAAACCGATCATGGCAAAGCAATGCTTTTAAAATAGCTGATGAGCGCCGCAAACAAGGCTTTTTAAACAGCTGATTGGCGCTGCATAAATAGGGGACAGCTGGAGGGGGGAGCGGGGCGCTCCGGATTGGTGCCTCGGAGGAGGGAGGGAAGGAGGGAGAAGGGTCTGGCCCCAATCCCCGCGCGCACCCCTGGGGCGCCGAGCCATAGAGCAGTCGTGGCAGGAAGCACTGCAAAGGAGGAGGCGCCCTCCGGGGATCGGGATCAGGGCAGCAGCGGCTGGATGGGGGGTGGCGCGTCAGAAACCCACTCCTCGCCCCATCTGCGCCCCGCCAAGGAGACCGGGCATCCGGGGTTGGCTGGCTGGAGGTGGATGGCCCGCCTCTTCCCATCTCCGGCACTGCCTCCGAGCCCTTGCTCTCTGGCCCAAAGAGGCCGGGTGTTTCCCAGGCTGGCCGGCGGGGAAACCCGCTCCTCGCCCCATCTGCGCCCCGCCAAGGAGACCGGGCATCCGGGGTTGGCTGGCTGGAGGTGGATGGCCCGCCTCTTCCCATCCCCGGCGCTGCTTCCGAGCCCTCGCTCTTCGGCCCAAGGAGGCCGGGTGTTTCCCTGGCTGGCCGGCAAGCGGTGGGTTGATGGCGTGCTGGCGGCTGCCTGCCTCCAAGCCCTCGCTCGCCGTCCAAGGAGGCCGGATGTTTCCCAGGCAGGCTGGCTGGCTGTCCGGCTGGCGAGGGGGGGTGGATGGCCCGCCTCTTCCCATCCCCGGCGCTGCCTCGGAGCCCTCGCTCTTCGGCCCAAGGAGGCTGGGTGTTTCCCAGGCTGGCTGGCCAGCTTGCGAGAGGGGGTGGATGGTGTCCCCGGCCGACCCCTGCCCCGCCTCTGCGCTCGCCCAGGACTGTGGCCATCATCCGGGCAGCCAAGTTGGAGCTGCCACACCGCTAGGAAAGTGCGTTCTTGGCGAGGGGAGACAGGCACCGCAGGGCTGACAGGTCCACTGGCCATGAGCTCAAGGGAGGCGGTGTGGGAAGGGGGCCTCCTCGTCAGCGCACCAGGCAGGTGGGTGCGGTGCAGTTCCTTGCCTGGGCTCGCTCTCCTCGTGATGGAACGCCCACCTACACACAGCATCGTCAGAAATAAAATGCCTGGGAGTAAAATGCCTGCTGCGACTGTCCTCATTACCCCCAGGATTTTCATTTTTACCCCATTTGAGGTAATTTACCCCTGTTCCCTGACCACTGCCCTAGAGGAGGAGGGGGCAACTGGCCCCTAGGAGCTGGGGAATAAAAAAAGCGGGCTCTGGAGGTGGGAAAGAAAGACCAGGAGAAAGGGAGACAGAAAGCAAACAGAGCAGATGAGAGAACACTTTGCAGATATGATACTGGAGGAGGCTGAAGAGATGCCTTATAGCAGAGGTTGTCAACCTCCAGTCCGCCTGTGGAGACAGACCTCCTCCTCCCCCGCACACACTTCCCTCCCCACAGCTGCTTTGCACACATGCCAGCATGAGCGCTCCCCCACCCCTTCACGCATGCGGCCTCAGAGGTTTAGCCGGTCCGTGGTCCCAAAACGGTTGGGGACCACTGCCTTAGAGGAACCCCAGGAAGTTTATCAAGTAGCGGTAGAAGCCCCAGAAGAACCAGAACCCCCAGGTGACTGAGTATGTCTACAAAGAATATCTCTGGACTGGGGTTATTATACAACTAATAGTACCCTGGAAAAAGGCTGAGGAGACACCTAAATCCTAAACCTCAGAGAATGGGATACTACTTACTCAATAACTGAAGTACTGTCTAGCCTGAGCAAGCCACTTTTCTCTGCCACATGTTATATTATTAATATAGTAGCTAGAGATGGGGATATTCGTATAGGAATACGAATACTCCTGCACAGGTGGCAATAACGAGGGTCCAGCCCCATGGGGCCAGACAGTCCACTCGCAATTCTGCTGCTGCTGCAAGCTCCAGGATCCTTCCTATCACTCCGGAGCTTGTGATCTGTGAGCCACTTTTTGGCCTAGCAGAGAATATTGTTGTCCCGCCTCCTCCCAGGAGGGGCAAGCCAATCACAAGCTCCGGAGTGATAGGAAGGATCTCGGAGCTGGCGGTAGCGGCAGAATTGTCAAGATCATGCCCACTATAGCATTAAAAACCACTAAATTTGGGGGAAAGTGATTCAGAATCATATTGACTCTAAACGCACCAAGATGGAAGAGGCGTCTTTAACTGAATATGCTGTTCCTAAGCTTCCCATATTCTAAGAAAAGAAGTCTTCAGTTGTAACATACTTGTTAGCACTTTCTGGTTGTTCACTGGCATAACTTGAACCATTATTATGTGGTTGTTTTGTAGATTGGTGGAAACAGTGAAGAACTGAAGAGTCTGCAACATAATACAGAACGTGGTTATTTAAGAGGACTTAATGAATCCTTGGAAAGCTCTAATGATACCTGGCATTCTCTGAAGATTGAAAATATTACAAGATACAGTAGTGGGACGTATAAGTGCATCTTAAGGACACCAGTTAGAACACATAACCAAAGCAGTACAATTATACTGAAAGTAATAGGTACAACTGATTAACTTTTATTTCCTATTATGTATCTTTCATTGTATATCCATGTGAAAGCATCTATTATTTTTCCTTCCAGACTGTCCTGACCAAGATGAAAAAATTAAAAAATACAGGACAGAACTTCTGTTGCTGTGCTCTCTCGGGGGTTTCTATTTGCTGCTCATCATCTTCACTTGTGTAAGTATTTTTAGCTTGTTTCTAACAGTTTCTATGCCCACATTTCACTTGCAGTTGTCACAATATTCACTAGGGACTTCATGAATGGGACCCAGTCATCTGTAAGAATTTTCCTGGTTTGTGCAAGAACCTGTCTACAGCATATATGAGCCATGCTTACCCATTTTTGGCAGAAGAGAATTTAATAACAGAAATGGAAATTTTTTTGTTTTGCACTACAACTCCCAGAAATCCCACAACCAACCTTGTCAGTGAACATACTGGCTGTGAAATTCTGAATGATGTATTCAAAGAAAGAAAGAAAGAAAGAAAGAAAGAAAGAAAGAAAGAAAGAAAGAAAGAAAGAATGAATGAATGAATGAATGAATGAATGAATGAATGAATCTTGAATTACATGAGATGTGCTTTTTGTATTGCAGTTTAACACTCATTAATTTATAAGCCTGAGCATATTGTAGTTGGGCTTCCAGAAATGCACGTACATACACAATAAAGCTGGCTTTTAAAACAATAAAAATTATACCTAAATAAACAATTGTTTTTTGTCTTGTTACCATGTCCACTGGCATAGACCAGATGTTATTTGAGAATACAATTTACAATAGCTCAAAGCTTAGTTTTGTACATCCTTGAGGAGGAACAACTAAACATGAATGTGTAATGAGACAGGCAGTCTTTGGCTGTAGTTTGTGTCACATATCAAAAGATCTGGTTTGATAAATTTTGAAGGAAAGTATCAATAAATCAAAAGAAACAGAAACAGAAGGTTGATTTTTGCTATTCTGAAAATGGTTAGTCAGTAATATAAGGGTTCTTTGTTTCTCTACATATAAGTACTATAAATTCCATGTTGAAACTTCGTGGTTTGGGGACAGAAAATCTGAGAGATGCTGGAGATTAGCATCTCTATGTAACATGTTCCCTTTAAGGGAATAATGGCTCACAGAGATTAAATCAACTTTTATTTATGTTTAATGTTGCTTAAATCTCAAAAAGGAAGCTTCTCCTGTTTGTTATACCCAGTGTTGTCTTGCAAGTTTATAATGCTGGTCTGCAGATCTTTTGATGAATGTTAATGTCACACTGCTCTATGGCAAAATCTGGAACTATTAAGATGCTGATACTGTTCAGAATGGAGACTAGTGTACAGAATCAAGACTACCAATTCAGGAAGACCCTCACAGTCAAGAATCAGAACATCTTCCTAATCAAGAAAAGTTGAAGGACAACAACAGAAAAGGACAACTAGGACAAATCAGCTTAAAAATGAGTTTAATAAAACTGTGAAGAAGAAAACAGAAAAGAAGAAAAATATATTTATCTGCAGAGTGGTAGAATATACCAGATGGGCGGGATACAAACAAACAAACAAACAAACAAACAAACAAACAATAAATAAATAAATAAATAAATAAATAAAAAGTTCTAATACTGGAAACTCAGATTAGCCCTTAAGATTCCTTGACCGTCATTTAGGACATACAAGAGACATATGTTTTCACAATACACATAATTAATTTGTTTAATTGCAAGTCAGAATCACAATCACTTGCTTAGTTGTTTTTTAATAAAGGTAAATAAACTTATGGGGTAAGGATGGGTCTATTATTATCTATGAAAGACAGCTAAGCAGACCCTTCAAAGTCAGAGGCATGGCCAAAGCTTACAAAACATACTATTGTTGGACTACTTGTCCCAGCATCCCCCGGCAAACGAGATGATTAAAAGTAAGCTACTGTGGTCTATAACTTGCAGTGGGAAAAATAAATGCTCTTTGACTCTGAAGGTTGCTCTGCTTCTAATTGCAAAACTGGCATCTCATATATTTGTGCACCAAGCAATTTAATTACATACCCACAAATACTAATTTCTATCTTTCTTTTTCCAGACCTGCTTACAGGACAAGGGAACCTCAGGTTGCTATAAATCCAGAATGAAACAAACAGACAACAGACTTCACCTTGTCAACATCTCTTAAAAAGATTATTTTGACTCGCCAGTCTGGAGCAGCACTTCCAAGGAAACTAGTGACAATTTTGCCAGCTTGATTTCTTTGTTGAGTCATTGAAAGCTTGTCAATTCTCATAACAATGTCAAGATGCTTGATACAGACTTATAACACACAACTTTTCCCTTTGGATTAACCTGAAAAGGTCTCTTCAAAAAAAATTAAAAAACAGTAGTGTGGTCCTTGTACATCCACTAAAAACCACCACAGGTAGAATAATCTGAAACCTATACCTCCAATTTATGTCTGCAGCCCCCATTTCAAATCTTATTTTCGACAAAGAAACCCGGCATACAATCTGGCCATTATATTTGGAACCTATATGTATGTGTTTTTTGTACCGCCTGCCACTCTAGTATAAAGTCTGATGAAGACCTGCGTGAGATCAAAGAGTAGTTTATGACTGTGATATTTTAGTAGTCTAATAAAAGTATCACTGTGGCATTTGCCCTTGTGGTCCCTGCTTGTCTTTCCCTTACAAAGGCTCACATTGGTTTCTTCTAAGGTCTTCTGCATTTAAGAAAAATCTAGAATATACCATCTTTCTATATGCCTCAAAATCTCTAGCTTGCTCCAGAGGCATCTGAGAATAAAGCTCAGTTAAATCTCCATTTATTTGTGATATCAACACTAACATCCTTTCATCATCCTTAATCTCAAAGTCCCAGCACGCTCTCTCAAATGAAATCAGGAAAGATTCAGGGCAATCTCCTTTCCTATATTGGGGAAATTTCTTTAGATCAATTTCTGAGATATTCCCCTCACTAAAGTTGTTGTTTTTATTATTGTTATTTTGAGAAGTTAATTCTAATTTTTTCATCTATATTTGAAATTCCATTTCTCTTTGTCTTAATTCCATTTGTCTGGCCCTTTGCTCAGCTTTGAGCTGCAGTTCCTGAGCTTTCTCTTCAGCTCTGGCGTTGATTTCTAGTTACTTGAGCTCTAGCTCCTTACCTTCCTCTTCTGCTCTGGCTTTTTCCCTAATTTCCAATTCTATGGCTTTTTTTCTCTAATTTCTAATTCCATGGCTTTTTCTCTGAGTCTGTACTCCTAGTTTCCATTTCTCCAGATCTAGGAAGCTTTGAATAATTTCCTTTGAGGGTTCCTCGGGTATTTGAGGGTCTCCATTTCCATTCCCCTCAACCTCTTGAGGATCAATTTCCTCAATTACTGGCTTTTTAGTTCTTTTGGGTGGCATAAGTATGTTCTTTCTTAATAAAAGGAACAGATTTATATTGCTGAGTTAGTCAGGCCTCTTTTTATAAGACTCTTACTACTCTTTTTTACTACTCTTTTTTTCTCCCAGTATTTTTCTGGGTTGCTATGTAGCTCTCACTCAGCAGCTAAAGATGGCTACACTTTCTCTGGCATCACACAAGCCACCGTGTTCCTTGGTCTGAAATAACCTTCTTGCCTCCAGACACAAAACAAAGTCTATTTTCAACTCTCTGCTTTTTATTTTCCTATCAATTCAGATCTGCTCTGACCCTGGCTTCCACATTTTATCCACCAGTGCTCCCGTATCTCTCAGAGCCTTGGATTTCAAGCTAGTCCACTAGGTCTTTCAAATCCTGAGGTAACAAAAATGATTTTTTCCTTCAGAGTCAGTTCCCTATCTTTAGTTCTCCCAGATATGTGTTCAGAAGCCCCGCCACTAAGCTTTTCCACAAAATCTCTAGCAGGTCACCCACTTCTTCACCACAGACCTCTGACTAAAAGGTACCCATGACTCTAGAAAATTCACTTTTAAACTTTGGCTTCCCTTAGGGAATCAATCCATCTTCCTCTTTTCCTGCTGCCTTCAACCTTTCTGAGTACTATTATCTTTTCAGAGAATATTGTTTTCTTAAGATGTGCCCAAAGTAGGAAGACCTTGGTTTCATCAGTTTTATCTCCGGAAACAGTTCAGGCTTGATTTGATCTAGGACTTACTTGTTCATCTTTTTTGTGGTGCAGGGTATCTGCAAAACAATTCAAATGAATCATCCCCCCCCCTGTCAATTTTCTTTACTGTCCAGCTTTGATACCCATACACAGTGATTGGGAATACAACAGTTTGGATTATTTTCATTTTAGTTTCCAGTGACACATTCTTACACTTCATGATCTTTTCTAATTCCTTCATTACTGCCCTTCTGAGTCTCAGTCTTTTTTAAATATTTATTTTTTAACTACTAGGAATAGGGTAGGGAGTACAAAAGGTAAAAGGAAGTGGGGAGAAAGGGAAAAATTTGAGGATGGGAGAACACAATAAACAATCATTCGTAGTATTCATATTTCAATATCAAATAAACTTTCTGCTTTTTTAAAAACTATTTGATTACTCTCCACTTATCAACCTACAATTATATTTTAGTTTAAACCTAAGTTACTCCAGCACTGTAAGGAAACCAAGACCATTTGTAAAATACATTCCATCGTTCAATTTCCTTTTGATTTGGACAATCATTCAGCACACCTGAAAGAATATCCCTTTCTGTCTCTTTGTATATTTTCTCAGTACACTCCTCTTGTTTCGGTAGCTCTGCTTTCTTCCAATTTTTGGAAGAGAAGAATGGATCCAAGACAGTAATCCAATTTTTAACATAAGATTTTCTGACTGCAGTGGCTAAATAGCTCACTGAGTAACTCTTTAACCCATCTGTATTACCTGGTACCTTACTCAATAAATGCAGTTCTGGAGTTAGTACAATTTCATTTAACTGCTGTTTAACATCTGATAACTTCTCATTCATCAGATCTTCTATCTGCCTGAGATGCTCATTTACTTGCTGAAATCCTGTTATTATTATCTTTTGCATGGTAGCCTGCCATTCTTCATCTGATTTTTTGCCCCTATTCCCAAATTTTGAGATTGGGCAGACAAAGTCTGCAACATTTGGTATTTTAATTTTTTTTGAGGCCATTTCAATCTTTCCAATAAATTGGGTCTGTATAAATAGTACTATATCCTTGACCAAAGTGGCCAACCCACAAATATCTTTCCGAAATTTCCACTATTTTGCCAAGATGGCTCCTGTATCCAATCCATGCTCGGGTGAATTTTCAGAGGGAAGAAATATCAGGTTGCTGCCCAATTTTCTTCCTTCTGGCACTCACCAACTGCTTCAGAGAGACCTCTCCTGGTCTCCCCTTCAATCCCCCATTTCTAGAGGGACCCCAGACCGGGTGGTTCCAGCTTTTCCCAGGAGCTATTCCCGGATGCTGTTGCCAGCACTGCGACGAAGCTCCATCTCCTGAGTCTCAGTCTTCATCTGATTTCTTGGCTGCATTTGACCCTTTCTCTTCTTGCGGACCTGGGCCTCAAGGTCAACAAAGAAAAATCCATTATTGTCCCTACACAGCAGATCACCTACATAGGTGCAGTTCTTGATTCCCGGAAGGCAAGAGTTTTCCTTCCTCAGGAAACAGCATCCAAACTTCATGCTCTTATCCAACATTTCCTGCCTTATTCGTCACAGCACATATGACCCAACATCTTCTAGGCCTCATGGCTTCCACCACATTGACCAGTCAACATTCCAGATTGAAGATGCGTTTCACACAATCATGGTATCTCGCCCTCTTTGACCCTATGACAGATTCATCTTCCAAACTTCTCAGCATTACTCCCGAACTCTCCACCCGGCTCCTCTGGTGGGATACTCCAGCCAACCTCTTCATCAGAAGGTCCTTTGCACCTCTCCAATTATCCTACTGGATGGGGGGCACATTGCAACAACCTACACATTCATGCTACCTGGTCTTGCACGAAGAGCAATCTTCACATCAACAACCTCAAACTCTTAGCCATTTTTAAGGCTTTTTGTGCCTTTGAACCCGTCACTCTTGGCACAGCCGTCCAAGTCACAACAGACAATACTACCACATTGTTTTACATAAACAAACAAGGAGGCACCCACTCTGTTCCACTTCTATATCTCACTGTCCAATTCTGGAAATGGTGTCTCAAACACCACATTTTCCCATAGCTGTACACATTGCCACTCAAGACAATCTAGTGGTGGACACTCTCAGCAGGATGCACACTCAGATAGACCCTCAATCAGACTGTTTTTTTCTCACCTCTGCAAGCTTAAACTGAAGAAAGAAGGAAAAACCAGTGGGCTAGTCAGATACGTATAATCTAAACCAAATCCCTTATGAATACACAGTGGAAGTGAGGAACAGATTTAAGGAACTAGATTTGGTAGACAGCATGCCTGAAGAACTATGGATGGAGGCTAGTAACATTGTACAAGAGGCAGCAACAAAAACCATCCCAAAGAAAAGGAAATGCAAGAAAGCAAAGTGTCTGTCCAACGAGGCCTTACAAATAGCAAAGAAGAGAAGGGAAACAAAATGCAAGGGAGATAGGGAAAGTTACAGAAAACTGAATGCGAACTTCCAAAGAATAGCAAAGAAAGACAAGACTTCTTAAATGCACAAAGATATAGAGGAAAAGAATAGAAAGGGAAAAACCAGAGATCTGTTCAAGAAAATTAGAGCTGTTAAAGGAACATTTTGTGCAAAGATGGACATGATAAAGGACAAAAATGTTAGGGACCTTATAGAAGCAGAAGACATCAAGAAGAGGTGGTAAGAATAAAGGGATTATACCAGAAAGAACTGGATGTCCCGGACAACCCAGATAGTGTGGGGCCTTGAGCCAGACAACCTGGAGAGATGGGGGCCTTAGAAAGCATGGCTAACAAGAAGGCCAGAGGAGGTGATGGCATTCCAGTTGAACTATTTTAAATCTTAAAAGATGACGCTGTTAAGGTGCTACACTCAATACGCCAGCAAGTTTGGAAAACTCAGCAGTACCCAGAGGATTGGAAAAGATCAGTCTACACCCCAATCCCAAAGAAGGGCAGTGCCAAAGAATGCTCCAACTCCCGTACAATTTCGCTCATTTCACACACTAGCAAGGTTATGCTCAAAATCCTCCAAGGTAGGCTTCAGCAGTACGTGGACTGAGAACTCCCAGAAGTACAAGCTGGATTTCAAAAGGGCAGAGGAACTAGAGACCAAATTATTAACATGCACTGGATTATGGAGAAAGCCAGAGTTCCAGAAAAACATCTACTTCTGCTTCATTGACTATGCAAAAGCCTTTGACTGTGTGGACCACAACAAACTATGGCAAGTTCTTAAAGACGTGGGAGCGCCTGACCACCTTATCCATCTCCTGAGAAATCTATATGTGGGACAGGAAGCAACAGTTAGAACTGGATATGGAACAACTGATTGGTTCAAAATTGGGTAAGGAGTACGGCAAGGCTGTATATTGTCCCCCTGCTTATTTAACATATGCAGAATACATCATGTGAAAGGCTCGACTGGATGAATCCGAAGCCGGTATTAAGATTGCCGGAAGAAATATCAACAACCTCCAATATGCAGATGAAACCACTCTGATGGCAGAAAGTGAGGAGGAATTAAAGAACCTCTTGATGAGAGTGAAAGA